CTGGATAACTGGAAAAGAAAAAAATGGTGGCCTTTGTCTGTAAGGCTAGGGACAGAAGTTACACATAAACCAGATTAAGTGATCAGAAATTGGTTTAAACCTGTAACAGAATAGAACCTCAGTGCACATAAACCAGTTTCAAAATGGACAAAACTGGTTTAAGATAAATCTGGTTGAATGTAGTATCAGACTTAATTGACTTGGGTCAAACCGGTTGATGGAACTTGTGTCCTAGAACCCTTCCTGGTTTAAGTTAAATAAGTGTCCCCCAGCATCCCAGCATGCTTTTCAATCCTGGGCTGGGCTGTCTGCTCCAGAGAGCAGGATTGGCTCTGCCCTTTTCCCTAGTCAGAGCTCCGGCTGGCTGAGAAGGAGGTGAAGACTGCAGGCACAGCAGTGTCTGCCTCCCCACACCCCTCACTGCTTAAGCAGGGATCCGCCATCTCCCACAGCACGGACTCCAGCAGTGCACACCCCAGACAGCATCTGGTCATGGTCACGCTACCCCCATGTTAGCTAATGCTGAGAGGTGTCTATGTGTGTGTCTCCAATTTCACTGGAACAAAGGCAGACAGAACAGTGTCCACTTAGGGCTTTTTGGAGCTAATCAACGGGTCAGCTGGTAATGTCCCTCCATTCTTCCTTAAAAATGCTTTGCAAAAACCTGTTTAAGAAGAGCTTGAACTGATGAGAGGGAGGCTTTGGTTTCTTGATTAGCTGTTAAGCTTTGTGTTCTAATAAGCTCCTTGCTGGCTGCTGGCTTGCTGTCATTATTCAAGAGGGGACAGGGAGAGGTGTGAGAGATGACGTGGTTTGCAATGAATGCAGTGTCTGTCAGTTTGCTGCAGACAGCATGAAGAAGCAGGAAGAGGGAGATTGAGAAGTTTAGTATCATCAACAGATGCATGTACTCCACACAAGCATTTCTCCCTCCCCTCGCCCCACCCTTTGGCTCAGCATGCTGGCTGGGGTCTGGCAACACTCTCCACCCCTTGAGCAGTAAGCAGGAGTGGGGAGGGGGGCTAAAGCCTGGCAAAGGCTGCTTCTCCCTCCCTCTCCAGGCATACCCTGGCTGGGGACTCTGCAGGTCAGGGTGGGGGTTTAAACCCCTCCCTAATCGTAATGTCTTTCTGGGGCCTGGCCATACCCTCCACCTCAGCTCAGCATTATGGAAGGGAAGGGAGGGCTTGCTCTAGCGCATCCTGGCTTCTAGCCCGAGCCACTGCAGGCATGTTGCCTGCATTTCCTGAATCAAAAGTGTGTGTCTGTCCACTTGCAAATTGGTTCAATCTCTGCAGGTTAGACTAACCTGCAGAGACTGAATCAATTTAGGCTCAAGCTTTTTGAATATTTGTCCCTAGCCCTTGAGTGAATGTGGATGTATACAGGAAAAGGAGAAAGATATCTCCTCCTATTCCCTATCAAGAATGAAAACACAAGTAACTAATAATCAGTCTTTAAAAGAACAAATAAAACAGTTCTTTTAAACTTTAGAAGCACAGACTTCTATTTAAGTTCAGTCTGTAAATTTTTAATCAGAATTTCCTTTAAAAACTAGGATTGTTTCTGAGGTTACAAACGGTTATCTTCTTTGTGGCAGGATCAGCTGTGAAGGGATGCATTCTGGCACAGCAAATCCAATAGACATACAGAGACAGATGTTGCTTGCAGTATTGTCCTGCAGGATCAGGTCCTTGCTGCTCCCAAGGCTTCAAGGGCTGGATCCTGTGGGACGACAGCCATGGGTGCTTGGCCCTGACCCATGGCGAGGGTCTGCAAGTGCTGAGTGAAGAAGTGGCTTCCTTGTTCAATACTTGCAAACACAGGGCTTCAGGGTGCCTGGCCCCAATCCGTAAGGGAATTCCTGGGAGGGAACATCTGCAAGCATGAACTGGGGAAGCAATTTCTCCACTCTGTGCCTGTAGGCACAAGGTTTCAGGGGCCCAATCCTGCAGATCAGCAGCCCCAGGTACCTGACCCCAACCTAGGGCATGCATCCAGAAGGTCTTTTTTTTACTATGCTTGTGTAACTGGTATAAGGACCATACACAATTGCAAGCAAATACTAGGGGAGTAGATGGGGATGCCTTAGAGCCTATGGTCTTCCTCATTCTATACTTGCAGATGCATAACCTGGTTCAGGCCAGGCGCCTGGAGCTTTTGTCCTGCAGGATTGGGCCCCTGCAGCCCCTAGAGCTATACCTGGGGAGGCCAGAGTGGAGGTTGCCTCAGCTGTTCAAGCTCTCATGCCATAAGCAAATAGACATTCTCCATGAAAAGTACTATGAATCATCGTGCCCAGAATTTTGGACATTTGTGGTGTGGTGGGGCATGAATATCTGTTGACTCCAGTTTTGGATGCCATAAAATTTTTATGGCAGCACAAGGGCAACGTCTATTTGCAGCCCATCACAAGGTCAGGTGTAAAAACATGTTCCTTGAGGCATCCCTATCTACTCCCTGAGTATTTGTCTTTCTTCTGTATGGTCCTTATACCACCTGCACGAGTATAGGAAAGAAGAAATCCCCATATTTGTCTGCTTGTGTTTATGTAATGGCAAAGCAGAATCTGTCTCTAATGGGTTTTTCAGGTTTAGATTTTGATAGTATTATACCAGCATATTAACTTCATAGTCAATAAGGCCCTCACAGAATAAGGTACAGAATATTATTCAGTATTAGAGGGGATTTCAGAATATAGTCTGAAAACTGTTACTATACATAAATAAATGGCTTAGTTTCATGGTAACTTCATTTTTTGCAGGAGAAGGAGGAGGGAAATTTTCTAGATAATTATCTAGAAAATTAGTGATGTTAATGTCAGCCATGAAGGGTGACCAAAAGAAGGAAAAAGTTGTTAATTGTATCTTTAGCCCAGAAATATTTTGCCAGTTTCCATCTAGAACAAAAGAGCATGCTAGTTCAAGGTTCTACTGTTTGTTACTGTGACTTTTTGGATGTTAAAAATGCAGTTAAAGGCCACGTATAACTGTTCTGTCCTAGGTGTAGAGCTAATACCTTGGAAAAAAATCCTACTTCTCTATTAATATAATTATTGCTTTGTGTTAAACACTAACAAAGGTTGACGTGAAGACTCATGTTTGCTTTATTTTCAGATATCTGCCTATGAGGATTCAGTAGCTGCTCATCTTGCAAAAATCCTCAATTCTGATCAACACTCAGTTGTCATATCATCTGCCAAGTGAGTTGATGGCTTTAATGTAATACATGCAAGATATATCTATGTAACATCATCATATAGGGCTATAAAATAAACTCTCCTGTAAGCCTGAGTTCCCTCTGTCTAGCTCAACTGCCTTGACCTAACTCAGTCCTGATTTTATAAATTGTGAAGTGCAGTGGATAAAGTTCTATAGCTATGTGGTCTTGTGCCATTATATTGTATGGCTTAATTTTTAACAAGTCAAGTTCAGCAACGTATTTAAAAAATCTTGAAAGCAAAATAATTGTTTAAGTAAAAAGATATATCATTAGATTAAAAATAGATTAAAGTATTAAAACTCAGTACTTCGAGTTTAAATGAAAATCATATTAATACTACAGCCCTGTCGCATCTTATGGGTGGGTTACATTCTGAAGTCAGCACGTAAGGCAAAAATCACATATAGTTGAAATTGCCCTTCCCGCCGAGCAGCTGCTGCCACCGCAGGGCCTGGACAAGTCGGGCGCGGCGCCGCACAGCCTGTGCGTGCAGTGCAACAGCTGCGCCTTCCGTACACACTCCTCGCCCCTCTCGTCCTCTGCTGCCTCATCCTGCCAGGGCAGCCAGCTGAGCGTGAGCAAGCTGCCGCCCCCCAGCCGTGCAGGCAGTACCACGCGGAGCCGCACTACACACAGTGCCCCGGCCAGCACCTGGCAGCCAGCCCCAGCAGCTGAGCATGTATAGCTGAATTTGCATAAGTTAAATACACGTAAGATGCGACTTGACTGTATGTAGAAGTGATTTGGTTCCCTTAGAACATCTTTTGCTCATATGTAGTCTCTAATAAGCATGCACACTGGGGAAAATAGGAGTCTCCAGTATGGTAGCTCATTAAAATAGGAGTCGAACCATAGGATTTTTATACCAAATTTAAATGCCTCAGATCAGAAAGGTTCCTCTCCCTAGAAATCCCAAATGCCACATAAAGCTGTAACATGCTGTGCTTCTAGCTGAGCAAAAAGAATTTTTTTATATTTGACACTGCCCAACAGACTGATGATATCTCCAAGATGGTATGCAGTTGTCATTACTGCTCTTCATCGTAACTCCAGATTCAAAGTGTTTAGAATATCTTTTTGAGGGAACATAATTTAAAACTAAACAACATCAACAGTAGTTAATTCAAGTTCCTACAACAAATTTGTTGTACTTCTGCAGCATATACATCCATAACCAAATTCTGGACTCAATTGCACTAATAAAAGCCCATTGAACCCACTGTCATTTGCACAAATATTTCGTAGGGTACAATGTGACTCAGCAGCCAGTCATGCATTGAAAACTATTTTGGATAGTTCTTGCCACCCACAAAGAGGCCCAAAGACAGATGTTACTGGGGTTTCAGATGGATGCAAGGTTCCCCAACAAGCGGTGTAATTTGTAAGACTGCAATCTAAGCCAACTGAGGGGAACACAAGCTTGCTAACAGCTTTGATAAAGCCAGTGATACTGATGAATACCTGTGGATATGTTTCCAAAAAAGGAAATAATCAAAAAGGTCCTATTCATTTCAGCTCAGATAAAAGTGAGAGAGAGGGGTAGGGAAACAATGTATACAAAAATGTTGAATCAATAGGGGAGAAGTGTTCTTAAGTTTAGCAGCAGATTTAACAACCCATAGTGAGCTAAAAATATAGAATATCTACTTTTAGAAATGATTTGATAATGTCCACTTTACAACCCAAATGGTCTACATTAGTATGTATTGTGAACTAATGGTCGTAATGTTATTATTCATTTTTCTCTTTCTGCCTGTAAAGTGTTTATTTCTAAAGCTTTTGGTATAGCAGGTTTTTATCTTATTCTTCTCAGAAATGACATATGGGAGCATGATTTAAGCTTGGTGGAATTTTAGTAAGAAAACAAAACAAAGTTAATACATCCAGTAATTAATAGTAAACTTGCATCCAGTTAGTTTAACTTTATTTTTTATTTAATTTCACTTTTATTTTTCCATCCTCCCCTCTTTTTTTTATGCAAAGGATATTATGTGAAACTGTAAAGGACTTTGTTGCCAAAATAGGGAAGACCTATGAAAAAGCTATGGAAAATGCAGATGAAGCTGATTCCATGACCCTTAAAGTAAGAATGAAGTGTTTTATAATATTATTTTTTTCCTCAATTATTTGTTAGGCTTTTGTAAATGTTTTAAATGTTATAGTTCAGAGGGATCACATGTTCTTCTCCCAAAGTAATTCAGGAAGCTGTGTTCTGCTCTTCCTGAGGTCAGTGGTTATAATATGCTTTTCTTTTCAGTAGGGAGACCAGTTATTTCAACAGAACTTTAATTTAAAGAATACCCTATTAAATTTGCCAGTAATTACATTCTTTTTGTCTTGGTTGCACAAAACAAAAATAAGACAATGGGGACTTGGCAATGTCGAAAAACTTGTTTATTTTTCCGTTGGTGACCTAGGCATAGCTTTTACACTGGAGAAAACAGATGACGCTTACAGTTGTATCCACAAAATAAAAAGAAATATGCTGCTTGAGAAATTCAGACTTCTCTTTAAAAGGGATTATGTTAAATGCAGTGAAACAATAGGATTATAAAATGGGAGAACCCAGCTGGAAGTAGGGGCTTTGGTTTTACAAGCATTGTGAACTAGGCTTCAAATGGCAAAACCTTGTCCTAGTGGAAAGGGGGAGGGGGAAAAGAAATTCTTGTTTCAAAGAGAAAGGTACACAAGGAATTGAAAAAGAACACTTAGTCTGTTGACCTCAGTACTGTACTGAAGTTACTTTGTGGTAGGCTCCACTATATTATTGACTGATGCATCAAAAACAATCATCTCTTTTTTCCAGTGGAACTATGGTCTCAGTTGTAGAGATGGGCTTTTTAGAAGTGTTCAGGAATGACCTAGTTCTGTTCCCCTTGACTTCCGTGAGGGCAGCCATACCCGTGCCTACCACTTCAGAAAATCCCACTCATGATCTTTAAATGCAAGTTTGTATGGCAATTCTATTGTCCAGCAAATAGTTAATTAGATGTAGTTCAATGCTAGGCTTTAAGATCCAGCACCAGAAGCTTGTAGTTGACTTTGGTAAATATAGTCACCTCAGTGATTTTTTTTAACTCATTCATGTGTCTTTGTGTAACTTTGCCAGTGTTCAGAATTAAATGAGAAGCTAGACCTGTTGCTCCAGACTCTTCACACTGAATCCCAGGCCACTCCCATGCTGCCACATATCACTCCCCCCATTGTGGAAGAAGAAGTGGAAGAGTATTCAAGTGAAGAATCCTTATCGGAAAGCAAGGAGAGTGAAGGAAAGTCTTCTATCCAGAAAATCTTCAAACCAAGAGAACAGTTAATGCTGCGGGCAAACAGCTTAAAGAAGGCTGTAAGGCAGATCATTGAACAGGCAGAAAAAGGTGCGTCAGCAAGGCTTTGCTTGTTAACCACAGAGGGAATCTTTTTTTTTCTTCTCTAGCATAAAATTCCATTGTGAAAACTGGATTTCAGTATTTTCACACAAATTGAATAGATAGATTATTACAAGAACAGACAGATTTACAACTGTTGTTTTGGGGTGGGGGAGGGGGCAGAGGTGGGGTGGTCACTGTATGTCCTAGAGCACTTTGACCATCCAGGCCTTGTGTCACAGCACAGCGCTCTGACCCTTCCATGCCTCAGCCACTTTCCCTACCTTCTGTTACCAGCTGAATGATGAGTCCTGCCACATATTGGATTGCTACTGATCTTATGTATCTGGCTGTATCATACTGTGCTTGTTCCTGCGCTAATAGACAAAATGGCACCTTTAATATTTGCAGCCAAAATAAGTCTCTAGCAGGCCTGTTCACTCCGATCTGGGGAATTGCTGCTAAGCTCCACCCTTTTGCTCCCTGTGCCATGTTGTTCTGAATTACCGAACGGATGACAAGCATGGGATTATTTTTCATTTTTACATGTAAACGGCATTCCTATTTCCCCCTTTTGCCAAATCTTGAAATGTAGGGACAGAGGTGGAACTGACTGGTACTGCACACCGTAAAACCCCTTTTCACTTTGCATTTTTGCCACTGACATGCATTGAGCAGCCAAAAAGCCCACTAGTTTTCAGCAGCCAAAAAAAAAAAAAAGTGACATCTTCCCTAGTAATAGTGAACCTCTGGCTGCTGTTACTCCTGCATTGTGCACGGCCACTCTTCTTTTCCCTCCCTGCTGTTGGATCAGAAGCCACTGGAGGGTGCAGGGTGTGTGTGGGAGGGATGGATGCAGGACAGGAGGGTGAGGTGGCATTTTAGCACCATTCTGGTGCCCAGGGCCTATGCCCCTCTTGGCCACCCATAGTTATGCTGCTGTGTACAGAGTTGTTTCAGTGACTATTACTCATATTATTGCTTTCTAGAAAAGCAACACACTGCATAGTAATTTTGCTTTTAAGATATAATAGGGATTAACAGTGATTTTAATGCAAAAATTATGCCAAACTAACAGTCAGATTGTAAATTGGCCACCAGAAGTGAGGGACCAGCTTTTTTCCAGGTGCTGCCTATATGCAGCTTTCACTAGTGTCAATAGGAGACCCTTGCATGCAGCACTGAAGAATCCAGCAATGGAATACAGTGCGAAGTTGTGATTCTCAGAGCAGTGTTCTCTTGCCTAGGTTGCACATATGTAAGAATTTTTGTTCCTCTTTGCTGGTGAAATGCAGAGCTTTTATGTTTGGTGACATTAAAAGATTTTACCCTGAAACAGACAAAATGCATTTTGCATTCTGCTGTCAGTGGGTTTTCTAGCCTGTGGCTTTTGCTCCCTGAAGAACTCTTCAGCCAGTGCCTCCCAGATAAATCGCAGTCTTTAAGCAAAAAAACCCCAAAACAAATAAGACAGCACTCTGCCTTGTCCTGGACACTTAGCACAGCTGCCTGGCCTCTTCTTGTAGCAAGCTGTTCTGTTCACAGCTCACTTTCTTTTTGTATTACTTACTCTTTTGGGAGCTTTTTAAAGCACCTAGTATTTGTCATTGGCAAAGGTTGCTGCACTGCTCCTGTTCTGATAGGGCAGATGAGACCTGTTACTGTTATTCATAAACCCTATACTAGTGCTACAGAAATAGGATGTTAAATCTTCCACATATACATATTTCTCTAAAGATGCGTTAACATTTCCTCCTTTGATAAGCAGTTGTGGATGAACAGAATGCTCATACTGAAGAACAAGAGAACCAGTCTGCTCTAGAATATAGTAAAGAATTGGAAGAATGCAAGGAAGAGGAAAAAGAGGAAGATACAAGAGAACATGAATTCCAGTCAAGTAAGCAAACTAAGAGTAAATTACTTCAAAAAAGTAACTAAAGAACAACTTAAAAACATTCTAGTTTTTAGAAGCAAAAATTCTCATTTCATAATTAATGGGGATAGACCATTTCCAGTATTAGTGCGATTTTGCTACTATTATATTGATATTGATATTATTTCTATTTTCTGAAAATAAATTATTCTTTTTGTATAAACTGTGCTCTGGAACTCTGCTTTGTATCCCCTGAGCCATGCATATTATTGCAGTGGAGTTCGTAAGAACCGTGTGACTTAAGTGAAGATTTGACTTTTTTTACAAAGCGTAGATTAATATTCCATGAAAAATGTAACTTTTGGTGACCTGAAACTAGCATATTTCATGGTGCATATGTCAAGTTTTGAAGACAGATTTTTAACTCTGAAAATTCAGCCTTGTCTTATACACCATCCCCTGACTCAGTGTGCAAGGCGCTGGAAGCCCGGGGTTGGCTTGTGTGAGAGGCATCATGCTGGCAGGCTCCCAGGGAGTTGGATTGGGCCCCTGGGGCTGGCTGGGGGGAGATGGGGGGTGCTGCTGTCACAAAGGGAAGGACTGCCATCCCCCCCCAGGAGAGGGGGGAAGCTCATCTCCTGTGCAGCTCATTCCTTGACTTAAGGGCAGGCAGGGAGGCTCTGCCTAAAGCAGGATAGCGCCACCC